TATCCTAAATAGAAACACAATAGGAATGCCAAGATGTGCATAAATTTAGAAAATGTGCATACACTTATGCGAACAACAACTGATTAGGATAAAGCAGAATGACGCCCTTGTCAAAATTCTTCCACTTTCCTCCTTTAAGTCGCACACATGAAAGAGAACGACCTTTGATGATGCTTTGGCAGATTATGGGACCATCATAAGAGAAGGTCCTGGAAAATCTTTCAATTCATCCACCAGTATGAGGTTTTAACAGGAGTCAAGATGAAGTTCTTGGTTTGCATGACGCCCAAGATGAAGATGAGGCTTCTGAACCATACGTTCAAGAAGAATCACAGTCCCATTAAGATCTTACTCCAGTGCAAGAGGTTTTAGAGTTGTCTTTGGAGCAGAAGACATCTAGTGAAAGTTTTTGTTTGATGAGAAAAAAAATGTTCATAAACCACAATGAAAATCTCATGTGATTTTGTTTTAACAGATGAAGTGAAGATAAAAATGCACATGATGGCATGGCATTAATGGGCAAACCTGTGGATGGACCACCATTGTAAAATATCTGTTATGTTGTTCTGGTTATTTTAAAATCCCTTAGTCAATGTTTATCATCAAAGTGTTTCAGTATTATTACCTTCCTGAATTGAGTTTAGAGGCTGCGTTCCCAAAGAGTTGTCTCGCATTTCCAAAAGCCAAAACACCTTCATTGCATTTCATCATCTGGCCTGCAAGAAATGTATAATATATACAAAGAGGCCCACAGTAGAGTCTCGTAAGCCAATTCCATTTTTCTATTTGATATTTGGTGCCGGTTTTTCAGGAAAAGTTTAATTTGCATTTTTGGATATAAAGATAGTTATGTTATTTGGGTTATCAGCATTTAAATTTTTCCTATATTATATTCCCACTGTTTTCTCTTTTACAGACCATTCTTTCAAAACCCAAACAGGCTCATTTGTCAGTATAGTGGCTTGTTCAAACATTTCTGATGCTCTGTTTGACTTTTAGCAGATATTCCTGATCATGTCTACATGCATGAATTCACAAGGTAAGTAAAATGTCATTAACCAATTAGACATTTATATAAACAAGCTGTTGAACATATATTAACTTAATGAAGTGGTAGGTGAGTGTATTGTAATAAACATGCTATAAATAATAATACAAATGCCAGGATAGATTTTATTGGAAGAAGAATGCCTCTCACAAGGGATTGACCAATTGTTCTGTCTCAGTCTCTAAAGTAGTTTAAAGATTCAATACTGATGTCAGATATATTTGTTTTCCGTGTATAATGTACACTCTGCCACATCATTATTGGGAAAACAAACCTCCTCATATGGCTCATAATTGCTTACTTATGCTCTTGTGCAAATTGCTGCTTTATTTGAAATAATTGTCAGTCTACTTGAAAATAAGTTCATTCGGATGAGATGGAGATCAAATAGTAGTCTCTGAAGGGTCTTAAACAAATTCAATCCTCAAACTACACCTGTGTTAAACATGCAGGGTAGTCAGACATGTAATATTGAACCACACGCAAGTTAAAGGGATAGTTCACTCAAAAATATCATTACAGAAATCCACAAGGGTCATATGCAGAACCTTTGTCATTTATGTGATTTTTGCAGTGTGGGGTTTGTTTTTGCTTGCGATAATCATTCACAATTTATGTATTTTTGGGTGAGCAGTTTAAACCTTACTTTAAACGACTCCTCTCTAAATGGGACCAGGTGGACCCATGTTTGTGTGTTTTGACAAACCAAACAATCAATTATTTTTTCTAATTAAATTTAAATGACACTTTTTGACTGTTGAGTTTGTCCACATTTGACCCAACATAGGGTTAAACAACATAAGTTTTACACAGTGGCCAAAAATATTTTGAGCCATTACAAAATATTGACCAGGTCACAAACTGATGCTGGTGGAGAAAAACGTTTCCTGACTCGCTCCTCCTAAACGGATCAATATTATTTAAATCTGATGGCTGTGTAGGCCCAACACAATCTCACGGCAATTCGTAACTTTTTTATTTAGTGGCTAATTCGTATGAATTCGTACGGTCTAATTCGTACAATTTAGTACGATTTGATTATCCCCCAATAACGGTTGGGGTTAGGGGTGGGGTCAGGTGCTACGCCTCCTTTTTAAAATCGTACCATTTCGTACGACTGAACTCGTACGAATTCGTACGAATTAGCCACTAAACTGGCAAAACGTAAAATACTTAGGTTTTCTCGTGAGATCAGGCTGGTAGGCCATGGGAGATGTGCAACTTCACTTCATATTCATCAAACCCTTCCGTCAGTTTTGCTGCATATTTTGGTGCATTATCATCCTGATAAAGGGCGCCATCTTCAGGATTCAATGATTGAACCATTGAGTGCACATTTGGTATTTGGTATTTTGGATTTGGTAGTCCTTGTCAGTGAAGCGCCCATCTACCACAAGTATTGGGACTTGGGAATGCCATGGTATTGCAGCCAAAACCATCACTGATTCACACCCCATTATTCACTCTATGCTTGCAAGTCTGGGTGGTACACTTCTTTGGGGCTTTTCTACAACATAACTGTCCCGGATGTGGGAAAGACAGTGAAGGTGGACTCATCAGAGATTTCCCAAAAGCAAGGAAATTTTCACAGTATGTCTGATAAGATTTTTTTCTTCTGGAGAAAGTCTTAGTTGTTTTTTTCCACTAGAATTAAAGCAGTTTAAAAAATGGTAAACACCATTTTAAGGTCAAAATTATTATCTTCATTGAGGTATGTTATTTCAATAGTCTACAAAACATACAATTGTCATACAATAACCTGCCTTATTACCCTAATCTTTGTAGATAACAAAATTAATCTTGTCAGGCCTTTAAATGTCACTTTAAGCTGTATAGAAGTGTCTTGAAAAATATCTAATAAAATATTATGTACTGTCATCATGGTAAAGTTAAAATAAATCAGTTATTAGAATTGAGTTATTAAAACTATTATGTTTGGAAATGCGCTGAAAAAAAATATCTCTCTTTAAACCGAAATTGGGGGGAAAAAATTAATAGGGGGCTTTTAATTCTGACTTCAACTGTATATTAAACCTGTGGAGTCCCTATCGAACAGCTTTGCTGCAAACAGCAGAGTTGAGGTGCACCTTTAATTCTACAGAGAGTTGGGCAACAGTGGTTTTATGTTTTTTTTTTTTTTTTTTTAATATAATCCGGATTAGCACCTAACATGCCTTTCAGACAGCTTCCCCTTGCATCCACAGTTACTCTTGTTGGATGTGTTTTTTTTCTTCTTGGTGGTATGCTGACATTACTCTGGATACTGTAGCTTTTGATACACCAACATTTTTCCTCTTTTGAACTCTTATGCCACCCGTTATGTTGTGTACATTGCAATATTTGAAGCAAAACTGCCATCACTCTGCTAATTAAACCTTCTCTCTGCTCTTACTAGTGGAATGTGCTGGCCAAATGTAACCATGAAACCTCCAAAACTAAATTGGCCTGTGTTTTAGTTCATTGTCCAACCATTGTGTGTGTGTTTTGTTGAATAGTTTCAGGTTTGTTTTGTCATTGTTTTATTGTCATGTTTTCTGTAAACTTTGTTTTGGTGACCCCGTCATACAATTGTAAAGTGATTTAGACAATTATTGCACTATATAAACGTGCATTACTTATTGTTAAAAAAAATTTGATAGCTGGGGGGTGCGGTGGTACAGTGGGTATTGCTGTCGCCTCACAGCAAGAAGGTCGCTGGTTTGAGCCTCGGCTGGGTCAGTTGGTGTTTCTGTGTAGAGTTTGAATGAATGAAAATTTGATAGCTGCAAGCAGATCCCCGTCTAGTCTAACCCACCACAACTAAAATAGACAAACTAACTTAAATTTACAACTAATATCTAAAAATAAACATCTAAAACCACTTCAAATATTATAACATGACTCCATAATTATACTGAATCATTTCTTAAATTAGTTATTTCTTTATTTTTTTATTTGTAACCTTTTCATGTAAATTGAGCTGCATGGTTTGTGTTTGTCACTCTTGCTGCTGTTTGAGCTGGATGGTTGTGACGTGTGTGTTCTTGCAGCAATGGAGCCACTCATTTCAACGATTCTCCACAGACAGCTGCGCTCATAATTCTTCAAACTACTGCCCAGCACACTTATGAATATCAAGTGACTGAAGGACTGGAGCAATTAAAGCCAGACTTGATTGGCAAAATTTATTTTGGCTGAAGTCTCCCTTTAAGGTATCTGGTTTGTAAGTCATGTCAGCTTTTAAAACACGAGCATGTTAAAGTAGTGTAAATACATATAACAATGAAATCTACGGTGAATCTAACTGTATTGTTAATCAGTATATCAAATTAATTGAAAGTGTTTTTTTTTCCTTCATAAATAATTAGGACCCACTTTATATTAAGTGTCCTTAACTACTATGTACTTGCATTAAAAAAATAATTACAATGTACTTACCGTGTTAAAAATCTATTGCAGAACACTTCTGTTGCTTTTGAGTTGGGATACAGGTCAGGTTATGGACAGGATTGATGGTATTGGTAGATTTAAGGGAGGGCTGAGGTATAAGGGTTGGTCAACAATATAATTACAAATGCAATTACAGAAATTAATTACAGATGTAATTACACACAGGTATTTAATTACGCATAAATACAATGTAAAAACATGTATTTACACAATAAGTACATTGTAACGAATTATTAAGGTCAGTGTAAGTACATATTAATTAAGGCTACTTAATATAAAGTGGGACCAATAATTGTAAAATTAACATAAAATGTAAAATTCAATCTGGACACTTTAAATTGTGCTCAAAACAGTAATCTTTTAAATTATGAAAGATCTCCTATTTGCTAATCTGTTTTGGCTGCTCGGAAAAAGCCCAGAGCAGGATTTTTGCTTCTATTTTTGTTGATAAGTCATATCTGTTTTTTTTCACCTCCATTTTTATGATCTTACTCACAGGTATAAACGGAATAAACAGCAGATGGATTTGTGGCAGATATAATTCATTTATCAGGCGTTTCACAACTGTGACACAAGACAAGATCATAAATAATATTTAACATCTGACAGTGAACAGGAATCTGCGGAAACAACATGACTATCTCAAAGAAACCGAAGCGAAGAGAGTAAAAGAGTTAAACAAGCACAGACACACAGAGGAAGAAAGAAGACCCTCGACAGGTATGTAGATGTGCACATACAGATCTCCACTTGGTAATATATTCAAAAAACAACCAGTTGAGTCATCTGAAGGGACCGCACGAATGAACGATTACAAAGCTGATGGGATTTGGAGATTGACTTCGGTTACATTGATGGTTCTGTAGTGTCCCCTGCTGGGCTGGAGGAATGGACAAAGTAAACAGGAAAAAAAAAAAGAAAACATTACTGCTCGCCTGTGACCACAGGTGATCCAACACTCAACATTTATTATCGTCAAATTTAGGATATATTGGCCACACCTTCCTTTCGGAATAGCTAAACAATAGATCTCTCCCATATACTATATACACTTTTGAAAAATCAGTAAATCACATAGGAACCATTTTGGACCATAAAAGAGGATCGTTATGGATTGTATGTACAACAGAGGAGGATAATCATCATATGAACACATATGGGCAATCAAGGTATATTGTCGTTTATATCATATATAAGAATGGGCCGGATACCCTGATATTCCTAAATATCACATATGTGCTTTTCCCTGTAATACTGAAGTCCTGTCCGACATATGTTGTCATATTTGTGTAACTGGACATCCACTTCGGCTTTAAAGTTCAAGTATAGGTTATTTATCTGTTAAGTAATGTGTATTTTATTTCTGAAAAATATGGCTTATTCTATCTAAAAAGGGTCAAAGTAAAATTGAATGTATCATTGTGAGGTGTTTTTAATAGCAGTGAACACTAAAACTCGGTGGCCCTGGAGTTTTATCGTCCTGAGGGGAACGGGGTCACTTATTATGTCTGCTGGTGTAAGAGGCACAAGTGAGTGGGGTTTGAAGGGGTGGGTGGGGTGTTGTCTTGGGATAGGGGTTTAATGGTACAAAAACGTGGAACTCATGCGGTTGAATGCTGGCAGTTTTGAGAACAGGATTGTAAACGACACAACACAGACAAAACGGGGACTTTCCACTACGACTTACAAATTTAATAAGCTTTCTCACTGGCAATGTCTTTCAAGGGTTCGTTCACCCTGAAAAATAAATTTGGTCGTTATCGTTTTTGAAAAAATGTTAAGGAACACAAATGACAGTATTTTTCATCACATCTGGGAGATATCTGTACATCCTCTGGAAATCTGTTCACCCAAAGCTCTGATGATTTAAATGATTGTATGGAGATCAAAAATAAATCCTTTTGAATTTGATTTGAATTGGTTTAATCCCAGTGTTTTAAAGACATTGTCACTTTGTATGATGAACAGGTTTAATATAAGAGTTCATTCACATAAATTTTGATGATAAAGTTTACAGCATTCAGATTTGGTCATGGACAAGTACGACTAATCAAGTATGATTAGTTGATGAACAAGAACCAATGAATTACAATATTGTGTGTGAAATGGCATGTTTTAACAAGGACCAGTGAGGCCATAAAAACTATTTTGTCTTTTCAAATGACTTGAAAAAAACAGTTTTATTAATATGGGCTTATTTTTTGATTACTTAACAAACGATTTGAAGAATCAAAGAGTTTTGGGTGAACATAATTTTAATTCATTTGAAAAAGTACCTTCATTTGTGCATGCATCCACATCCTTATTTTTTTTTTACCATACAACACATATTTACATATTCATTGATATGCGAGTTGTGATAGGAAAAAAAATTCAGGGATGCACAATCGTTCACCATATTGGTATCAGGTGATATATCGTTATTTTTAACATAACAGTTATTGGTATAATGAGGAAAAATCTAGTCCTGATAAATTAAAGCTACATTTGTAAATATTTTAGCAAAAAGAAGGACCTGGAGGTCTCTTCGCAGTTGCCTAATTTTCTGCTTTTAAGGTTTTAAAATTAATTCAGTTAAAATTGTATCAAGATTTCTATTTATCATCATAAATCTGCAATTGGTTTGAATATATGTAAGGGATAAAGTACATCCAGGTGGTTGTTATCGCAGAATAAAGCCAGAGAGGCTTACCAGCAGCCTGACGCAAATCATAGCTTAATAATAAAACTTATTACATGGCCGCTTGTTACAAATGTAAAAATTTGTTCTGAGCCATAGTAGTTTGTCAATTTTTAATTAAACTCAGAACTGACTGGGACGAAAACAGTTGAATGGCGCACACAATCACAAGATGGCACCAACCAATTAAAAACCGAGGCATGACATACAATCAATCTAATGTAGATGTGAAAGTATTCGCTGACAGTAAAGGCTGATTCATACTTCTGTCGCATAGCCCTCGTTATGGCTGACGCCGACGCTGACGCTGACATGCACCTCTCAAAAAAATTTAACTACATGTTGTAACTACGCGTAGTGCAAACTCTGCAAGCTCTGGCTTGGTAGCAGTGACGAACGTGGGTGGGAAGCTGAGAGCTGTGGGCCCGATGAAGTAATTGTTTATGACTGTCGAGTCCCGTGGAGGAGCTCCAAATGGAAACTTTTGTCTTGTGTTTACCTTATGGTTGTTGCACCTTCACCTGTTTAGGCCTCAGAATGAGAGAGTTTGAGATACTTGTAGCGTTAATAAAAAACAGAACGCCTCTGAATAAACAACACAAAGGAACATAAAAACCTACTGCCAGCTAGCGTTTTGGAAGTTTTATTGCAGAGCTACACAAATAGCATGCAGAAGTATAAATGCACCACTACGCGCAAGGCAGGTGCTGTGTGTCACGCCGATCACTCAATGCAGAAATATAAATCAGCCTTAAAGATGATTCGAAGTACCCGAATGAGACTGTGTAATTATTTTTAGTGGTTGATATCTGCAATAACATACCCTGGAATGTCATGACTGACCAATCAAAATCAAGTATTCCAGACAGCCAAGTAATAATAGGTGTTATCACATTTTTCATCCCTAACCCTACCCCTTAAAGATGACAGAATTTTAATTTTGGAGTGAACCAACTCTTTAACATGGCTGACAAAAAAAAAAAGACAGACAAAAAAGGACGGAGTTTAGAGGGAGAGAAGAGAGGTGGCAAATATCTCTAATTGGTTCAAACAGTCAACAGTTTCTCCTCTAACAGCAACGCATGACTGAAAATCTAGAGTTAACGAAAACATTCACTGTTAATGAAAAAACACAAACACCAAAAGTTTCCTACCCATGTAGTTTTTACGCAAACTAGACACATTTTTTAATACCCATTGAGCGATAATGACAATAACACTTAGATCAGAACAACTACAGGAAGCAGGCCAGCAGTGGACAGAGGAAAGGGGCGGGGCAGACATAAAGGGGCGGGCTGGACGAAAAAGGGGGCGGGGTAGGCAGCTGCTCTGGTTTCGCCAAACGATGGCTAAATATTACAAAATATTCTATCAACAATATTCACAGTTAAACCAAGGCTTGATACACATTGTAGTCACAAAATCTCAGCAACGCCTTGTGCTTGTAGTCACAGAGTTTTAAAAACACTTTCATGTTTCTTTCTCTATCTTTTTTTTTTCTTTTTCAATTTTTTTGGTTCTATATTACATAGTAATGTTTGATAGGTCACAACTAACGTTACAAAGTCGGCTCAACGTTTTGGACTCAGGGAGAGACAGTGGCTTAAAGAAGAAGGAAACTCTCCTCCCCCTGAGAGGCACGAACTGTGTGAGAGGCTGAGAGTTTGAGGGGCAAATTCAGTAACTCGCACGCACACACACTCACTTGGGGCAGAAACATTCAAGTTAGACGCAACTCTTGACCTCATATTCCAAAAATAAAAACTTAGCACGATCTAAGAAACACTCGTACAGTCTCCCCCAGACTCTAAAGCAGATTTTCCCCTCTTATCCTTTGAGAATTACTTTAGATCAAAACATAACATAATTGGGATAAAGTAAGCCGAGGCTTTGAGAGGCTGTCTGTGATGTTGGAACAGATTAACGGACGGATAAAAAAACAAAACAAGACTCTCTGATGAAAACAAAAGCTTGACCTCTTGCCTTCATCTGTAGTTAAAACATTAATCTTTTCCACGATTTATAAACAGTATGACCCACCAGAAAACTAGTAAGGGAAAAGGAGGAGGAATGTTCTATGCACAGTGACACTGCAATGACACCCTCATCTTTATCAGTCCTGATGGAGAGTGATTGAATACTCATGGTCGTCTCTCTCATTTACACAGTCGCATCCTTTGATATTCTTCTTCTATTTCGAGAGTCTGAGTCAGTGCACCTCCTCTCCCACTAGGGGGCAGGCTACTCTTCGGTTTCTCTTCCTGAGTTCTGTTTGCTCCTACAGCGCAGAGATTTTGACCACATCAGTGCTGCTGGGGTTCAGAAGAGGTGGGGCTTCTGGGTTGGGAGGGGACGGGGCGTCGGGACTGGCTCGAGAGTTGTTTGAGGGAGGAGTCGGGATACTGATGATGGCCGTTGTAACCAGTCCACTGCTCTTGCAGTTCAGACTCCCTGATTCATCCGACATCAGATTGAGACTGGAACGACTGAGAGAAAGAGACATGTCTTAGAGACTATGGTTACATTAATGTGTCATCAAATATTCATTCGAATATGTATTTTGCAAATAACAAAGTATTCTTCAAAACATTTTTTTTTTTTTGCAGAAGAAAATGTCATTAAAAGGTATTGGGCAGGGGTCACCAATCTCGTTCCTGGAGTTCCAGTGCCCTGCAGGGTTTAGCTCCAACTTGCCTCAACACACCTGCCTGGGTGTTTCAAGTATACTTAAGACTTTGATTAGCTTGTTCAGGTGTGTTTGATTAGGATTGGGGCTAAAATCTGTAGGACACCGGACCACCAGGAACAAGTTTGGTGATCCCTGGTGTAGGGGATAGCGGGGCACAAAATGACACTTTTTGGTTTTGGCCAAATAATGAACAAAGTAATGGGGTTAGACAAATTATATATATTTTTTAACAACAACATACAAGCCTTTCCTACAAATAAGAACTGGTTGTATGATCGCCGGACCTATGGTTTTTGTGCAGTATTGCCAAAAGTGCCAGGAGTAAAAATGTTACTCTTTACCCAACCTACGGGGCAAGTTCAACAGACAGAGGGTTAGTTGTAACATGCTTATGAAGTCAGATTTCACAAAATTCATTTCAAATCAGTTTACTTTGAATAGTATATTTCCTCAGTTCCATAACTTTTTTTTTTTAAATTCTACATAGCACAGCATTGTTTTTATTGGATAAACACTTTTGGATTTTTTTGCATTATCCATATTATAAAATGAACTTATTTGCATTATTAGCAAGAAAATATTTTTTTATCTAAAAAAATGTTCTATTAAAAAACATCTTTACTTTAAAAAGTTCTCAACATTACACTCAAAATTCAACAACTATTTTGTTAGTTTAATTGGTGTCTAACAGTGAGTGGCTTATTTGTAAGTTTCCCTGTTACATCTAATCCTACTGTGTCATGTTTTCCTCAAAACTGGCTAGCACTCACTGTGTTTTTTTACATCTTTCAAAATCGTTCCATCTTTGGGATAATTAGGTAAAAATAAATGCATATTATAAGACAATGAAAGTGCTTTTGACCTTGCATGCTTATCTGCCTGTTGTTGAAAAAAACTAAAATATAATCTTTTTTACTGCATAATAGTGGCTCTTTAACTATCATGTAAACATACCCTATATATAGGGCCAGATGGAATCTGCGGACGTTTTTTGCTATTTCTGCCGAACATTTTGGTAAAAGTCTTGCTGAATTATTTTAGGAGTATCATAAGTAAAACCTTAATATGTGAAATAAAAAATGTTTATCTTTTTAACTTTTATTTAATGTTTAAATTGCAAATCCAATCGGATTCACTTTATTTGGTAAACAAAGCCATTCTCTCATATAATATATCTACTAAAAGACAGAAAATATTACTGCACAATTTGAATCAGATGAACATTTTTATATAATTCAATAATATTACTGTACTTAATTTAAAAAGTGAATAAATATAGATTTACACACATTTACTCAAGTAAACAAACAGAATTAATGATGGGCTAAAAATCTGCGGAATTCTGCACACGCAAATTCCGTGTGGGCCTATATATGTGTGCTTTGTAATGGTCAGTAAATAATGAACTAGAAACCTTGCATATTTACCTGAGAGAATGTTCCAAAACAAATTTACAAAAAATAAGGCTGACACAGAAAATGATTAAGCGATGGTTTCATTTTTAAGACAGCTGCAACATGATCACCACAGCCTATAAAAATTGTGCAAGTCTATTAGTTCCAATAAAAAAATCAACCTCTGCATGGGTGTTTTTATGGGGAAAGAGAGCTAACCTGGTGTTCAGTGGTTGCTGCTCCCCACACTGGATGTGCAATGCGCTGAGCTCCTGCAGATTGTGTGTGTGTGAGTGCGTGTGTGTGGCATTGAGAGGCTGAATGTTCTTCTTGGGTCTTCGAGAGCAGCAGGTGCCTGTGATGCCCTCTTCACTGGAGAGAGACGGGCTCTGCGACGGGAAGTTCTGCAGTGCTGTCTGCAAATAGCCCTGTTCATACAGACGCTCGTCCACAAACTCATGATTCTGTTCACACAAACAAAGAGAGCAATGGTTTGTAATGATACAATTACTGTCACAAGCCTTTTTTTTCTTTACTTTAAAGCCCTTACATGCACGCTAATATTTGCATATTAAAGGGAATATGAAACAACGATGCATTTTAACATCTGTAATGGGACAAATGATAATAAATTGAATGCACGTTTCTTTTCATGACAGAAATACATTTGATTATGGCAATAATTAAATACACATGTAAATATATGTAAAAGCAAATATATAATTTTTTTTTATATAATAGAACTTGAATGGAGTAACAGTATTTTGTAAAAAAAGAAAGGGTACTGCAGAGGACAAAAATATTATAAGCAATATTAGGGGAGAGTCAGGCCAGTTACAACACTTTTTGCATTTCCTTCACTTTCTCTGACACTTTTTGAGGATACCCAAAATTCTAATATAAATAACTTGCATCTTTCAGACATTGTTTTTAATATTTGTACATATGATAATATAAGCAAATTTAAACTTGAACAAACAAAGTTAAATATTGCAATTAAATTAACTGTTAAAAAATATTGCCCAATTAAAATGTATTGATAAAACAATTCTAAAACATCAGGTTGAATTTTATTTAGTTACCTATTAAAGACTATTAAAAAAACAAAAACAAGCAACAACCATGTTTTGGCCAATTATCAGGCCTATAAAAAAGCCTGAGCAAAAATTTGTACTGATCAATCAAGACTAAACCTTTTTAAACTACTTCTTTGAACTTTAACGTGAATTAATCAAATAAACATTAAAACTGTAATAAAATTGTAAATTGTTAATATAACAAGCATTTAAATGAATTTGGTAATTGGCGATAGTTGCAACATGCTGCGCTGTTAACCTTGATTAAACTTCCTGTGCTAGGTAGATACATTAGCTTTAACACTCGATAGCTATACCCATTTAAAGCTAAGAAAACAAGGATTTAAATGATATGGATGAATAATGTTTCACAAAAACAGATTAGACAGCATGTGAAATTATCTGATTATTAAAAAAAAGTATACAGTTTTATAGGCTACTAAAGGAATGGTCACATATGGCTGATTTTTCTCTGATTGAAGGAGGGTCTAACAGAGAATATGTAATATAGATATAACTCTAGCTCATTCCTGAATGGAGCAATAAGTCTTGTCGCAACTCTCCCCACTCTCCCCTACTTGGCTTAATCTAAGTTAATAATCAAATATAGAAAATAAGGCAATAATTAAATATATATTTTAAAAGCGAATACAGTATTGTTTGTTTAGGAAAGGACTTGAATGGGTTAAGATTATTTTGTGAAGAAAATTAGATTGTAACTAAATCTAAGTGCAAAATGACAGACAGAAAGACAGACAGGTACATAAGTCCCGCCCACAACGAACGAAATAGTCCAATGGCTTTTTGCCATGTGATTGACTGCTTTAGGAAGTTTATATGGAATCAGTTTACAATTACGATACGACAAATCACTCAAGCTCAACAAGAGAACGCTAAAAGGGATACTGAATGGAGAATAATCGCAAATAGGACGAAAAATGAAGGTATGTGGGCCTACTTTTCGCATGTTTGTGTTCATAGCAGAGTTTGGTTTGGTTGTATTCGGTTTGGTGTTTGTTCATTTCATTGCTTGCTCCTAAAGGCCTGTGCCGTCCTCAGAAATGTTACCTCATAAAATCACTTATGTGCAGATATATCAAACAGCGGAAGCGAACAGGATGTGTTTTGAGCGACCGAATGCGGAAATGTAAACTTTTCAAAACATGCAATCAATTGAATCAGTTCGATCGCCAAATGATTCACTGTTTCGAAGCACTCGAACATCATTACGCAGCGGCACCTGCTGGTAAAAGCGGAGCAGGCATCCATGGTGCAAACAACTCTTTAATCTTTTAACTGCCTGCTCTACCAAATGGTTGACCATACTTTTTAAATAATAGTTTAAACTACACTGCATTTCAATTTTACAAAAAAATCAAACAAATATAATCTGTATTTTAATACAAACATTTATTATTTTGATTATTTTTACACTTCATATTTTTAGATTTTTCGTAGTATATGTTTTAATTCAGTTACTTTTTGCCATAAACCAACATATAGGAGAGGTTAATATTTTAGAAATTATGGGATGTGTTGGAAAAAAAATGCATTGAGTGTGTTAAGTAGCGACATTAGGAGAATGCAATCCAAACATTTTTTTTTCTTGTTGGGCCAGTTAAAGGGTTAAAATGTTTCCATTACTTTTTTTAAAATAAATAAATAATTATGTAAAAAATATATATTTTATTATTGTGTGTGCTTTCCATTTTTGTCATTAAGGCATGGCAAACAATTAAGAGCAAACAGAAACATTTAACTGTCTTTCTTTTTTTGCATTCAGCAAATTCATAAATATTGAAATACATTAAAGTAACAAAACCCCATTATAAAACTAACTTAAGATCAGTTAGCCATGTAGAGTGAACCTTCTGAACAGCAACTTTTAGAATAGGCCAACTATTAAACTATGTAGTAAAAGAAAAAACAGCATGTGAGCCATTGTATTTCAGATACCCATAGTATTAATAAAACAGCAGGTGAAAAGTACTCTTGTGACCTACTTCCAGCTAGATTGTAAGTGTGCATTCACTGGACAATCTACTATCCCATGAGACCGTGTAAAAGGATTTATGACAGACAAAACTGATGTTGTAGGTCACATGACAGTGGCAGCAAGTATAGTACATCTGAATTTAATTTGTTCTACACACATTCATACTATATTAATCATAAATTTTAACAGTTTTAACCTAATTTTCAAACCAAACTTAGTGTCTACTAGTATGCATATGCAATTTTAGACAGTGCAAGGTTTCATAGTATGACCATAACTAATGAGAGCTTTGCAAAAGTTTCTAACCTCAAAGGGATAATTAAGGCAAAATTTTTTACATTTTTATGTTAATTTATTCACACTCTCATAAAACTGAGGTCTTACAAAGTCCAATGAGAGTTGAAAAGAGTTGAGAAATGTAATATTATTTATTATTTTATTATTTATTATTTTATTATTTTTAGCCCATGGCCTTCGTAAACGCAATAATGATTAAAAATTATAACACAAGAACGCAGTGTCCTAACTACATCTTTTCCATGTTAAAAGGAATTTTAGTTCTAACCACCTGCATGTTAAGTCGTGACGTATGGAGTACTGTTGTCGGGTCCAAGCTGCTGCTCATTTAAATTGAGAAAATATTAGTTTCTGGACACTTTTTAGTCCAATCACACATAAAGTGAATTTTATATAAAATCAGTGTACACAACAGTCTGGACTCGCTGCATCACAAATACCAAAATTTTAACAATTTATATATAAATGAATCACTTTCTGACTATCTGATATTAGGCATGGATGTATATATTGCAATTGTGATTTTTGAAATTATTACATGGCTTTGTAAATGTTTATTATTACCATTTGTTAAGGCTTCCCATAGAGCTTGATAGAGCACTTGGACCCGGAAGCTGCTTTGCGTGACGTCACACTTAACAAGCGACATGCAAAATTTCTGTTCTTTATTTCATATTACGGATTTGCAGGTGAACAACAGCATAAACTACTATGACAATCATCACCTGGTGCTTATTATATGCTGTATTCAGTGTTTAATGCTACTAATGTTTGAATTTCATCTTGCATGGCATTTGTTGCCATACTAAATATTTATATCAGATCTTGAAAATAAAACAACAAACATACAGTTTAAAAATGAACGTCTGAACTGTGGCTCCATGCAGACCAACAACATCAGTCACTCAGCATGTACTTTTAATAATGTTAAAGAGGTTTAATACCATTATCATATTAATGAAAGGGAATCTGTCTATTCTCTGCTTCTGAATGACTCTGGTATCTAAATATTTCTGTCATGTCACATCTGGTGCGGACCAACAAATTGCTTGTCTCTGGAATCTTTGCAGCATCAAATGTTTTTAGGACACTAACAATGAGGACATTTACATGGACACCAATAGTCTGATTTTAATGCAATTAAGACAATACTCTGATTAAGAGTCTACCATGTTAATAGATTTTTTTTCTTTTTTTATTATTATTTTTTGATTAATTTAGTATGATTAAGGTTATAATTGAGCTAAACAGAAATTAAATTAAGACGTGCAGTATGCCGATTTTAGTCACATTATTAAAGTGCAGTACAGACATGTAAACACCACAATCAAACTATTACCGTTGTGTAGGACTTTCACTGTATTTTGAGACAGGATAGTTTGTTGTTTTTTTTTTTCTTACCATACAGCGTGCAATATCAAATTCCATTAAAACTACACTCCTCCAGCAGTTCATACTCCCATCCAAATATCTTGTTTGTCATAGGAGGAGATGCATAAAATGCTCCAGAATGAAAGTGAAAGTGCCAAACTGCAGTTACAGTCAACAAGTTAAAAACGAAACACCCAAAATTACATGAAACTCCAGAGAAAATGTGGATAGCGCAGTGATGCAATGACATTATTTGAATTATGTGCTATAACATGTAAAACGAGATCCTGTAAGGATTATTTCAAATAATTCGATTACTGATGTCCATGTAAATGTAGTCCATGTGTGCTAGTAAAATAAACATTGTACATTTTAGTGTAAATTAACAGAAAAGTTAATAACAAAAAGCAATGATTCCTTAAATTGAGTAGTGTTTGAAAAAGCCCCCATCATGACTTGGAGGTAACTGACCGTGGTTTTCTCTAGGCAGTGCAGAAGATGGTGATGCTGACTCTCCAACAGAGATGTGGTCTTTTTCAGTTGCTGGTCCTCTTCTAAGGATCCCTGCACAAACACACACAGACATTCCCATTATATTTAGGGAATTACCATGTTTCATGCATGAATAATGAAGTGGAGAGAGGGACGGAGTGTGTGTTGTTTGGCTCAGTACCTGTGGTGAAAGTTTCATCTTGTAATAGGGGAGCTGCTGTTGTGTAAGAGTGGGAGGGAGAGACATGGAGAGTGGTTTACTGCTTTTGGAAGGAACTTCATCCAATAACAGAGCAGCACAATATATCATCCATAAATTTAAATAAACAAAACCTGAGAGAGAGAGAGATGAAGGACAAGGGGCCTTTAGAGGCCAGTGAGCGATTTCGCTTTTCTGTTTCACCAATCTATTGGTACAGTTGCGTTAACTCCTCATATCTGTGTTTTTTATTCTATCGTATTGGAGATTGTTTTCCAACATTGGGCCTTACGGTTGACTACAGTACCCTGCTCCACATTTTCGCCATTTCCTCAACGTCTTAACACGACGCAAGCACCAAAATAACATGAGTGAGTCAGTGAGTGATGTGTGGGAGGAGAGAGAGAGAAGGAAGAAGAACGGTATTGTTAGAAATGAAGAGAGAGAGCAAAATTAGGCGCTTTACAGTAACAAACCTTGAGGACTCTTATTTTGAGCAGACTGCGATGTTTGGTGTTTATGAACTATTCAGATGGGCTAATCTAAAACCAGCTTCTTCAGCTTGATCTCAAGTCACAGCGTTCTCGGGCGAATCGCATTAAGAAACCTCAAATTAACCCTGAAATCAAAGGACTGCTTATTATAAGAATATTTTGCATAAAGAAAATGAATCCTATTTTTGGGCCGTTACAAATTTTCCCATTGTGACATTATTTACATCATAGTTAAACACATTTTCCACTATTTTCAGTGTGATTCACCCTCCTAGATATTTTTTTGGAGAGGTGTTTTTTTACCCCTCCTCTGTGCATTGATATTGATGGTACCATTTTAATACTTGGAGTCCTAGAAATTCCAATGATGTATGGGTAAAACATCAGTAGGCTGATATTGGTGATAATAATCTATTTGTTTAGCACAAAGCAGACATGCACTTTTAAGAAAGGTTGTTTGTATCCATGGCATGCTATGTTAAATCCATTATAATGTTGTTTGGGATCAGTTGGACCCCAGAAAAATAATGTAGAAAAGTAAAATATATTGTTTGTTAATGTTTTAATTTGAATTGGCTGTAGTGTATCTGCACATTGTTTACACTGATCTTGTTCTGAATGTCTTTGTGTGATTATAAAAATTTGTAAAATGAATAGGAATTTGGAGGTACTACATCTTCACTCACTTGTCACTTTATTAGGTACACCTTTCTAGTACTGGGTTTTACCCCCCTTTGCCTTCAGAACTGCCTTAATCTTTTGTGGCATAGATTCAAAAAGGTACTGGAAATACCTTCACACAATTGCTGCAGATTTGTTGGCACATCCATCATGCAAATCTCCAGTTCAACCACATCCCAAAGGTGCTCTATTGGATTGAGAACTGGTGACTGTGGAGGCCATTTGAGTACAGTGATCTCATTGTCATGTTCAAGAAACCAGTCTGAGATGATTAGCGCTTTATTACATGGTGCATTATCCTGCTGGAAGTAGCCATCAGAAGATCCGTACATTGTGGTCATAAAGGGATGGACATGGTCAGCAGCAGTACTGGGGTAGACTGTGGCATTGACACAATGCTCAGGTGGTACTACTGCGCTCAAGGGCTGCCAAGAAAATGTCCCCCACACCACCACTAGCCTGAACTGTTGATACAAAGTAGGATGAATCCATGCTTTTTCAACCTTGTTGTTGATGGCAAATTCTGACCCTACCTTTAGAATGTCACAGCGGAAATCGAGACTCATCAGACCAGGCCACGTTTTCCCAATCTTCTATTGTCCAAGTTTGGTGACCCTTAATTGTTGTATTGTAGCCACAGTTTCCTGGTCTTAGCTGACAGGATTGGCACCCAGTGTGGTCTTCTGCTGCTTTAGTCCATCCGCCTTAAGGTTCAACGTATTGTGCATTCAGAGATGCCCTTCTGCATACCTCAGTTGTAGCGAATGGTTGTTTGAGTTACTGTTGGCTTTCTATTAGCTCAAACTAATCTGGCTATTCTCTTCTGACCTCTGGCTCAGAAGTCACTGGATATTTTCACTGGATATTTTCTCTTTTTATGACCATTATCTGTAAACCCTAGAGATGGTTGTGCATAAAAATCCCAGTAGATCAGCAGTTTCTGAAATACTCAAACCAGCCCATCTGGCACCAACAACCATGCCACATTCAAAGTCACTTATTTTATTTATTTATTTTTTACAATTTCTGTAATGTAATGTAATGTAATGTGTATCTGTATAACGCATTTATCATGTATACTCATACACCCAAAGAGCTTCACAACCGTGAGGAGGGTCTCTCCACACCATCACCAGTGTGCAGAATCCTCTTGCACCAAATTAGTTTTGCAACTTTTATATTTGATCTTTTGCATTTAGTTATGCTTGTAATTTGTTTATTACATGCCATGCATATTTTTTTTTCTTACAAAGTCATGCCAGTAAATCAAAAGCTAATAAAGTTTCCGAATAGAGCTATTCAAATCATCTGGTGAAATTGTATTCATATATATTGCAGAAATACAAAATATCGCAATGTCAGATTTTTTTAATATTGTGCAGCCTAACTATACATATTGAATTATGTGATTTCTGACACATGCAGCCAATGTTAGCTCCAACAAGTAAAATTGATAATCATCGCTGATAAAATCCATTGGAAACAAATAGTATTGTTTTTAATAAGCAACAAGTCAAATAAAAAAGACCTAGTTTATCCGATTAATCTAAAAAATAATCACCCAATTAATCGATTATCAAAATAATCATTAGTTGCAGCCCTAGCCAACTGTAATATGTGTTGTTTGATAGTAAGATGAACAGAAAATTCAGCTTGATCTCACGAGGAAAGTAACTATCTTACATTTTGTCAGTTTAGTGACTAATTGAAATAAATTTGTACGAGTTCAGTCGTATGATTTCAAAAAGGAGGCGTGGCACCCAACCCCACCTCTAAACCCAACCGTCATTGTTGGATAAGTAAATCGTACTAAATTGTACGAATGAGATTGTACAAATTCATACGAATTAGCCACTAAATCAAAAAGTTGCAAATTGCTGTGAGGTTGTGATGTAAACATTTCTAAAGACAGTCAGTTCCCCTCAGAGATTCATTCATATAAACTCCTATTTTACTACAACTCTAGTAGTATCATAAATTACTTGGTGTTTCATCCGATTCGTGTCATCACATATTTCAATCGTTTCATCTCTAGATGATATTTTTATACTAGGGTTGCTCTACATTATTGTCATTACAGCTGTGGTCCAATTTGTTCTATTGCTTCACATTTATAACATTAATGTTATTTTCATATTTATAATAATTGGTGTGAACAGCGTATTATTAATTAATCACACAGCTGATATTAATCACAAAGTAAATTTCTACTGTCTTGAGGTCTTTCAAAACCCAAAGCTCAGTTTTGTCAGGTTTCTCCAGTTTCACTCCCTGGACATCTCAAAGGATGTCCTGTGAAATCGGTTAGCTGTCTGTGAAGTGGCCTGTGATCTGTCTCGGTGTTCGCTGCTCACTTGTAACATTTTCCTCATTCCTCAAACGCGTTCAGAGAATCACTGCTTCCTTTTCCAAGAAGACATTTTATAAGAGTTGGACAGCTTGAAACAACTGCAGCAATAAAGACCAGATCTCTCTTTCACACACACATGCTCACAAGCCTGCTCACTAATGAGGGTGTTCAGGAAAACATTAAGACATTTTCACATCGGTTCATCACTCTGTTCTGATAAATTGGATGTCATTGAGTTAATTGAGCTGATGTTTGTGCAAATATGCAAACACGAAAATCTCATAATCGCTCTTAAGTGCTGAAAATTGGAACCCCCCCTTGTGAATCTCTAATGTTAAACAGTTTTAAAGCAAAACAACCTGGCAGTTTTACCTCAGCACTAAAGCACTGCCAGATTCAGATGCTGTTCAAAACCAGAGATAATGTATGTCAAATGAAAAGGGAGCCACTGGAATAAAAATATTAACTACAGAGAAAAAACATTTACATGAATATTTTTGTTTTTGTTTGTGTGTTTGTATTTGGGTCAAAGACGAGACGTCCTATATTAGTGTCTGCATCAAAAGGGAATTGAGGGATTTTTGTGAAAATAAATCTTCCAAATATGGGTGAAATAATGTTCCATAATCATTCAGAGTAGCAGATTTATGTATGCGAGAATGAAACGCTCATTCTGACCTGTAATTAAAAGCAATTGTAGTAATTTTTCTTACATTTTAAACTGAGATGCACCTATGTACAAGATAAAAACAAATCTACAGGCTGATTATATACTGTTAATCAAAAGAGGGCAGTAGATTGTTGTCTATTGTGTGGAAATACTTTTAATTTATTTTCCACAATGATGACAAATGCATTGACAAAAACATTTAATCAAATGACCATTCCCATTAAGAATTCTTACAGAATTCAAACATAGACGTCTTGGCCAAAACAAGGCTAAATTTGGGCTGTTTGTGAAACTTTATTAGACATCTGACAATAGTCCAAAAAAGGACTACACTGTTTGTTGTCTTGACTTTTTGTCATTACATTTTTTTTACAGTGTAGTTATGAAATAGACAGGAGTCAAAGTGAAATCTGGCTAAATTGTCTGTTATAGTTGCACGATTCTGGCTAAAATGAGAATCAAAATTTTTTTGCTTAAAGATCTCGATTTTCTTACGATTCTATAGATTTGGTAGGCTATTATTATTGTTATTTCTTAAACATGGTAAAATAAATAATAATAATATTAAGCCTTTGTGTTGGTCTGCTGTTGGTTAAAATGCTTAATTTTGTATAGACTTTGAATAGTGGATTTGAGTAGACTTTAAATTTGGCCTTGTTTATTAATGCACAGTTTATATCAGAATACAACTATTCATAATTTTGGAGTTTAATTATTGTGTTTGAGACATAAGCTTGTCATTTAACATTGACATTAACATTATTAGACCAGTTTTTCACTAGTAAAATAAGACATTTGTCATTATTAGATTCAATTTTATATTTTATTCTGTATACTGACACTGTTAAATGTTTATTTGCATGCACAACACTTTGCTATGAAAGGAAAAAAAAAAACATATCAAATGCTTGTTTTAATCAAAACTCTAAAATGTGTTACGATCATTTAAATGATGTGCACGCTTTCAGTCTCGCTTTCACTGCCGAGTGCGCCCGTCATGGCTGCCGTCACTCTGAGAAAAAACAAACACACACATGCAAATCATACTTGCCGCATGACTCCCAAACGATCGCTCTGTGCAACAAACTGAATGTTATTTTAGCACTTTATTACCTGTTATTCACAGCCTATACAGGTTCTGTTCACTGAAGTAGACGCGAGCGCACGCATCCTCTCAGTAGTAAATACAGCATACGTGTGATTTTTGTGGCAGAGAATACATCATTAGATTAGGACAGAAATGACATTTTTGGCTGAATTATACCTTATGAATACAGTACGCGACTGCATTTGGAGGTGTCCACGTTGCTGAGGAACATATATAAAATGACTTAAATTATCCTGAAGATCCTAAATAAATTATCTTGAACTTGAAAATATAATTGACTTAATTATAGAAATGCTGGATTAAGATCGTGTGCAGGGTTGAATTAATATCACAACTCTTTTTCAATTAATCGTGCAACCCTATTGTCTAGTCCAGTTTTCAAGATTATTATAATTAGATTTTCACTGACAGCCCAATTATAGCCTTGTTTCAGCAAAAATGTCTATAGATTAAATGTCTATTCGATGTCTTTTAAGCACAAATTTGCTTGGTAGGTTCTTTTAAATAGACATGACAACAGTTTTTGGTATATAAACTACTTTTACACTAAATAAAAGTTTAGTGGATGTATTATTATTCTTATTTTTCTAAAAAAAAAATAGAATAAAATGAGTGTCATTTAAATGTTGAAGAAAATGGGCAAAACAACAGTATTACACTATTATTATTTAATAGGTTGAAAAGCCATTTACATCTTTGACCCATGAGTGTGAGTGTGTGTGTGTGTGTTTCTCACCGTTAGCTCCAGTGATTGGTTGAGTCCGTTTCGTTTGCTATGCAGGAAGGCGGTAGAGCTGCCACTCTTGGAAATTCTCATTCGGGCCAGTCTGGCTTTCTGTCAACACACACATACACACACAACACAGAGGAAGTTACAACTCAGTCTACCAGTGCTTTTCCATCAGAGAGGTCTTGGTTTCAATCTGATCCCTGTTGAAAGTGCAATTCAGATCAAAGTACTTTAAGAAACAAAATGGATTTTTTCGCAAAGATTGCTGTCCGTCATGAGATGATGAAAAATGCAAGCGCCTTCGAAAACTACTGAACCAACCCCAACAACCCTGACAGCCACGCGGTGGAAATGTGCAGCGATCAGGGGAGAAGAAAGCGCCTGCTCTACAAAGCATAAAAGACTGGTAATTTGGAGAAACGCAGCTGTGTAATGGTTAATTACAGTAAACGTCTTGTGTAATGCTGAATTACGGTTGGCGCAGCTGTGTAACGATAAATGATAGAGCAGCGGTTTGCACTCCCTCAGTCTATGTCGTTTTTATAGGCACAGCATGGATGATGGGGGGAAAACCAGCAGTCAATCCTCTGTGGAACATCAAATTTTAATATTTACAATGAATGAGAGTATTTTAATCTCCTCAGATCCAGAGGCATCAAATGATCTGATTTGTGCTCTTATTCTCTCATCATCTCATGTAAAACAGATTCTGTCTCTCGCTTCGGCTCGCTCAATATTTAAGAAGCTCTATTGACACGATAAAAAGGATTTACATTGGAAAAGTGTTAAGCATGATAAATACATTAGATTGACATTTTCTTGAGCATATTAGTGCATTATGGGTGGTTGTCAGGGTGTTGCCATGCAGTTGTGAAGGTGCTCTGAGTGGTTTTTAGTCCATTAATTAATGCTTGCTATAATTAGTTTATATATCTGTCTGTCCGTCTATCTATTAGGGATGTGCAATTAATCGAAATTTAGTTTCGATTTAAATTTTGGCTTCTAATGATTATGAAAAAACATTAATTGAGATAAAACATATATTGCGTCATATGTCGCCCCCTTTCTAGTTGTGCACATTTGTTGCTCTGCAAAGCTCAGTTTCACGTGAAAAATACTAAGCATGTACTGTAATGTAACTTGCAGCATTTTGCAGCCATCTTAATGTGAGCGCTTTAATGATCAAATACATTCAAATTTGTTAAAACGCAGTGTTTAGTGATTATTCATATTAACCCTTATTTATGTAATAAACAAACGAGTTGAGAATCAAAATACATGTAAAAGTGAAACCATAAATCAGAACTGTACTGCTCTTAAAGTGACAGTGCACATTATGAACCTCCACAATATGACAACCCTCCTGAATTATTAACGGCCTTTTATATTTTTCCCCCAATTTCTGTTTAACGAAAAGAAGATTTTTTAATAACCCATTTCTAAACATAATAGATTTAATAACTCATTTCTAATAACTGATTTCTTATATCTATGCTTTGATGACATTAAATATTATTTTACTAGGTTTTTCAAGATTCAAGCATTCAGCTTAAAGTGCAATTCAAAGGCTTAATTAGGTTAGTTAGGCAAGTCTTTGTATAACAGTAGTTTCTTCATCACACAACCAAAAATGTAATGCTTAAGGGGGCTAATAATATTAATCTAAAAATAGTTGTAAAAATATTTAAACCTGCTTTTATTGTAGCCAAAATAAAACAAATAAGATTTTCCCCAGAGGACAAAATATTATAGGAAAGGCTGTGAAAATATCCTTGCTCTGTTAAACACCATTTGGGAATCACCCACCTACCCACCTACCTACCTACCGACCTACCGACCGACCGACCGACCAAACACCAACCAACCAATCAATGCATCTTCAAGCTTTTTTATTATGCAATATTTTTTATTGTTTCTTATATGAGAAAATCTAGCAAGGTCAGTTTATTTTTTATTTTTTTAAATTTTTTTTTAGGATTTGTCTTGCGTGTTCATTTGTCAGACACGAGTAATTAGTAAAACATTTAAAGATTTTTAAAAACCATCAAGATTTTGTAGGATGTATATAATGTATAATATAATGCAATGTAGGATGCAGCACAGCAAGAAGTTTGCTGGTTTGAGCCCCTTTGGGTCAGTTGGCATTTCTGTGTGGAGTTTGCATGTTCTTCTCGTGTTAGCGTTTCCACCGGGTGCTCCGCTTTCCCCCACTGTCCAAAGACATGTGGTATAGATGAATTGTGTGAACTAAATTGGCGGATAGTGTATGTGTGTGTATGTGAGAGTGTATGGTGTTTCCCAGTACTGGGTTGCAGCTGAAAGGTTATCCTCTGTGTAAAACATATGCTGGAAAAGTTGGCGGTTCATTCCGCTGTGGCGACTCCAGAATAATAAAGGGCCTAAGCCAAAGAAAACTGAATGAATGAATAATGTAATGTAAATATAATGTAATATGTCACTTGATTTATTTTTCATTAATAAATACACAGTACAAGTATATATCTTTATCTTTTTTTGTGCTTTTTTCACAATTTTTATTTATCTAATGCAATTTAGTAAGGGTTAGATGCTTTAGCACTCTGTGCTTAAAGTAAGAAAAATAGTCTTGTTTTCAGGACGTCTGGATAATTAAACTGGAGAACTTGACAAAGGATTTTCTTATTTCCATTTTTTTTTGCAGCGTGACTTGAATATTTCTATTTTATTAATCTGTTTTAACTGTGTTTTCATTCTCTTAGTCATAAAGCGGCTTTGTGTGGCCTCATGTCAGGTGTGTAATAAGAGCACGCAGGCTGATTTTCTTGTCACCTTCACACATAGGCAGGAGGTGTTCATGGTCTGAACTGTTAATAGCGCCTTTAAATGCTGGATATCAGCTCATTTAACAGCAATGTACATTAAACAGCTAAACGCTCAGGGGAGAAGAACAGTGTTTGCATGGCCATACATTGTGAATAACATACATTGTGTATAACATCAGCTCTCATCCACCGTTAGGGGTCATCGGTTCACCCTCCTCTATTGATTTAGGCCAACTGGCTTTGCTTTCTCAGATACAAATTCTCTGTTTTTCAGTCCGACGAGTGTTTGTATGCGAGTGTGCGTTTTTGTAAATTATTGAAGAGGAACAAATTGTGTCTCAATTGCATCAGGGGCCTCGCCGAGATCAAACCGGCATTGTGATGTTCATTAATTTCTCACACACACTTGAACAGAGATTGAAAGAACATACACCATCATTAAAACCCTCACACACACACACACACACACACACACACACACACACACACACACACACACACACACATATGTGAGTCCCTGTGGGTGAGTGGAGTGCTAACTCTGCTCTTTTCACAGGAGATTGCCATCACATAATGGAATCAGTTCAGGCCTCTGAGACCGTTTGTATTTCCAACAAATGCCGCAACAATTTTCGGCTATCGTGGAAAAAAATGAGAAACGTTTTTTTTTTTTTCTGGAGGATCTGCCCCTGCAGAACGTGAGATGGGGAACGGGGCTGAGGTTCTTTATCAATGTGACACAGACTATCGCTGCTGAGAATGGTTGTTCAAAAAGAGTTGGCCATAACAAACCTGCGCTGATGATCAGATACACAGAACGAAGCAAAAAATCACTGATTACATTTCAGTCATACACATATTCAGCAGTACTGTGAAGATCGGGGAGGCAGGAAGACCTCCATTATTCTAATATCATTGTGAGTATTATGTATCAAACTCCTTTTATGAAGCAAATTTGTGGTCCGTGACCCATTTCGGTTCGCTGTGATCATATCAGAGGTTTACTATTTGAAAAGAAATGCATTTAAAATATTTTTTATAGCATCTTTTCAGCAGGACTATAATAACGTGCAATAAAATGTAGTTTCATGTGTTGTTATTCTGGTAGCTTTGAATGAGTAGGTAAGATCATCTTTATCTGGCCTCATCTTTACATTTTTAGAAAAAAAAAATACTATTAAGGCCATAACATATGGATTCAAATGGAGTGTGGTGTTTTCAAGCATTCAATTAGCATGTTAATTAAATGAAAATGTGTAATAGTTTACATTAGTGATGCATGCGTTGATGGGCACATTGGTGTTGGTCGATAAAGGCTTTTTTAGATGTAAATGTTATCAGCCGGTGAGGAAATGAATTGTCTCTTGATTAATTATGGATTATTTCTGTGGGTTGATACACTTGTGTGCTGCTGGCCATAAGGGGTGTGATGCTTTATAACAGTTTCTGCAAGAGGAAAAACAAGATGTCGGCAGCGTAGATGTTTTTATTTTCACTGTAAAAATTGCAGTTTGCAAATAAATGATTTTGAGAAAAGAAAGATCTAGTTTTATTTTGCAGTTTCCTTGTTTTCATCATCTACAGTTTTAAAAATCAAATCAGTTCTCCACTAAATTTATTTGTCATTTGTTTTTATAATTGGAACCGATCAGTATTGGCTATAGATATTTAGTGATTGTACTGGTATAAAATGTCCTTATTGATGGTTTTACTAGTTTAAATTTGAATTAAATTCTGTTAGTTTATCTTGAGAGTTATTTTTAAGCTTTAAGTAGGACTTAAGGATATTTCTATTTGATTTCATAATTACTTATCGTTATAATTACCAGCTGAAGTGCCACTGCGCCCCACTAGAGGGTGCTCTATCTTTAAACTCAGCCAGCCATCAGAATGTTTCCCACAACCCACTGTGATTATTAAGCTGCTTTTCCACTGCACATAACGTTCGGACACGACTGTCGGAACACACCCCCTTGGGGTAGTCACACAGAATTTTCCGTTTTGTCGTGCACCATAGGAAGCTGATTCTCGCAGTGGTATCTGAAATAAAGCAGTGCAAAAGCAAAAGCAAGAGCATTTATTCTGTGTGTGTTTACAATAGAACAATGGAATAGAATGTTTTCATTATATATAGACTTTTTTTTCGGATTAAAAAATAACAAAAACTCCTATTTCTCATCTTACGCACATGGACTTACTTGGACACTGGAACACATCAGATCTGGTTGGCCAAATGCATACGGTCTAGTCACAGGAGTTCAAATATTTTAACAGATCCACAGCTCAAATTGGATCGACAATTTC